CAAATTCTTCGATGATGAAAAACCAAAAAATTTCAAAAAGAACTAATAAATCTTTTTAAAAAAAAAACTCATATCGCTATTAAATAACTTGTGATGATGATAATAATAATAATAATAATAATAATAATAATAATAATAATAATAATAATAATAATAATAATAAAACCCCGACAAATAAGAGCCTTGTCGTGTTTAATAGTGGAAATAATAATAATAATAACCGTTTTACATTATTGAAAAATGGAGAAGCTGAAGAAGAATAAGACGAAAAAAATCAATCGAAATCGGATAAATTTGAAAATTCTGACGTATTTTAAGATTTTCTCTTGCTGTTGCTCCTGTCGTTATCGTTATCATCGTCGTCGTTTTGTTTTTAAAGTTTCAATAAGAAAATAAAAAAAAAGAAAAAAAGAAAAAAAAGATAGAGAAAAAATAAAATTTTATTACGAAACTGACGTAAAAACAAAACAAGAGAATAATGACTATAAATAAAAAAAAAAAAAAAACAAAAACAAAAACAAAAAAGTTTTACAAAAGGTTTTTGGTTTTGACGCAAGTCATATAAACTCACGTCAGGTAAATAAATGTAAATGAAAATACGTGGGAGAGTGAGAGAGAAAGAGAAAGAGAGACGCCATATTGCTTTTTTCTTTTTTTTTTTGAAAAATTTGATAGGTGTATCGTTCGTATTTTGTTATCGAACGTACACGTTTTTTTTTTCCTCCTACCCTCGCCCACTCCTCCTTCCCCGGAAAAAAAAACATAATTATTATTATTATTAAATTCTTCTGCTCACTTATCATCATCATCATTATTATTTAAAAGTCTTTACAAAATTCTTTTCCGGTTTTTTTTTTTTTTTTTTTTTTTTGAAGGAGAAGAAAAAAAAAAATTTTTTTTCAACTGTGTAAACATAATTCGTTCGACCGCATTGAGAGAGCACTTGTACTTCCGGTTTCTTTATTCACAAGAGACAACAAACAACATGTCGTATTTCAATAAAAAAAAAAAAATCATTTTGTTAATAATAATAATAATAATATATAACAATGTAAAATTATGTGGACATATAATTAAAACGAGTACTCGACGAAACATGACAACAACGACAAACGAAAAAAAATTTTTTTTTGTTTAAACACGTGACGTCATTTCCTTTTTTTTTTGGGAAGGAAAAAAATAAATTTCTTATGCTTAACGTTATTACGAATAATATTCGAATGTGACGCAAAAAAAAGGAAAAATGGAAAAAATGTCGATGATTTGTTAAATTATCTCTCGAAAAATTTGCAAATGGAAAAAAGAAATCGAACGTTCTCGAACAAAAAAAAAAATAAAAAAAAATAAAAATAAAGAAAAAAATTTGAAAATAATGTAAAACGATAATAGCGAAATCGGATAGGAAAAATCTCTCTCTCTCTCTCTTTATATCTTTTTTTTCGTTTATTTATTTATTTTTTTTTTGTCGTGGCAAAAGAAAAAAAAAATCTCCTAATCGGTAAATCAACAAACAAAAATTGTTAAAAATTTGTTTTTTTTTTAGGGGGGGGGGTTGTAAATGTTTTATCGCGTAGGCATAAAATGAATTGCGTGCGTGTGCGTGTGCGTGTGCGTGAACGTGTAAATAGAAAGCAATTGAATATTTTTTTTTCCTGCACGTGTAATAAAAATCATAGGCGAAGAGGGGGAAGTTTATAAAAAAAAAAAAAAAATTTCCCTTTTTTTTTATTTTTTTCCTCTTCATTTTATATTTTGTCGTGTCACTAGGGAAACGAATAAAAAAAAATCATTTATATTATTACGTTTGTTACACTTTAAATAATAATTTTTTTTTCCCCCGTTTCTCACATTCCACTTCCTTATTATTTCTTTTTACACGAAGACTTCTTTAAAAGTCAAAAAAAAAAAAAAAAAAAAAAAAAATTTCCAGTTCTTCAAACTTTTATTAAAGTTTTTTAAAGATAATAATAATGTTTGTAATAATAATAATAATAATTAATTGACGTCGAGGTTCTCAACGATCCGACCAATTGAAAATCATTCACAAAATTGTCACGTTAATGGTGACGTCATTTAAAAAAAAAAAAAAAGTTATTTGAAATTAATCCGATCACTCGATCGAAAGATGGAAATCGATTAAAAAAAAATTTCACGCTGGAAAAAGGCGGCGGGGGGATAGGAGAGGGAGAGGAAAATTTGTTAATTTTTTTTTTTTTGCAATTCGAATTTTAAAATTAAAATTAAAAAAAATTTTTTGGGTCTCAAAAATTTAGGGGGCCCCGAAAAATTGAAAAAAAAAGAGAGAGAGAGAAAATTTTTTTTTTTTCGACATTTTCACGCACATTTCGTTATTTAACCGAATAAATAATAATTTTTTTTTTTTTTTAAATTTTCCGGAATTATAATTAAAAATTTTTAATGACGTCATTTCCGCTTTTCTTTTTTCACACTCCCTCCGCGAGTATGCGCGCGCATTTAACCTCCGATTTGATGTATTAATTTATTTTTTACCAGTTAATTTTTAATCCTTTCGAAATTAATTTTTTTTTTTTAATTAATTTTTCGTTTCGTTTTTTTTTTTTTGAATTCGTCTACTGCTAAAATTATTCTTCGTTATTATTATTATTATTCTTTTTAAATTTCCCGCGTTTTTTTTTTTTTTTTTCATTTCATTTCTTTACTCTTCTTTTTTATATTTTATTTATTTATTCGTTTTTATTTTTTTTCCTTATTTTCTTTTACTTCCGATATAGTCATAATAATAATGATGATAAACGACTAATCACGACCCGGCGTAATACTAATAATAATAAATAAAACTTTTCGTGAATCGAAACCGAAAAAAAAAAAAAAAAACAAAATGTCGACAAACACGATTAATTGACGTGTATACGTATTTGGTTTTGTTGTCTATTAATATAATTTTACGGTCGGTTGATTTAAAACAAAAGCGTAACGGTTTTCGTGACCTTGTACACTCACCCGTGGTGGTGACCTTTTTGTTTATACGTATATTAATCTAATGATGATAACCTTTTATTATCGAAATGGTAATTTAATATTAAAAAAAAAAACGTTTTGTTTGTTTGTTTGTTTTATGATTTATGTTTTTTTTTGTATGTTTCCAGCTCCGGAAGTTCAAAATCAATCAATTTGCAGCATATTAAGCGACATGTTTTCCCTCGGGATGGTCATCTGCGCCATTTTTAATCAGGGACGTGCAATCATACAAGCTAATCACAGCACTTCAACTTATTTAAAACAACTCGATGTGGTGAGTGTAAGAAAGAAATGATTTCCGTTTTTACTTTGTCACGTTTTGATATTTCATTTCCGGTTTCATATAATGTTTTTCCACTTCGTTTTTCGTTTCCTGCCCTGTAATTCGTTTAAGTCATTTTAACGGTTTGAGTCATATTGGATGTGAGAACGTTGGGTCGGTTGTATGTCGTGATGGGTCTTGGGAGGTATCGTCGTACTTATCGACTTCCCACGACACTTTCCCAACTGTCCTTGACCTTCTTATTTATGTTCAGAAACCTTCGTTCGTTTTTTTACTATCGTTTTTTAATTTCTTTGGACTGTTCTCCGGTAAGTTGAAATTGACAACAACCCCACTTCCTCCATCTTTGTCAACGTTTGTTGTTTATCTTCGAATGTTTCGCTCATTGTTCGATATTTTCCCCTTCCTTTCAATTCGAACACGTTACTCTTATCGTTATTACAAAAAAAAATGTTTTTCCACGGTTTTTTTTTTAAATTTTTCGGTCATTTTTTATTAACGTCAACGAACGGTTTTTATCGTTTCAAAAAAAAAATGACGTTTAACATTATGACGTCATCACATTAGACATTTTTTTTTTTTTTGAAAAAAACCCGGAAATTGTGAGATGGATTTTTATTTTTAATATTTTTTTTTCCTCCTCTCTTTTTTCCCCTTCTCCCTTTCGCCTTTTTACCTTTCGCACTCCTCCTACTTTTTCATCCTTCTTCCATTTCCTCCTCTCCCCACCCATTTGATGTAGAAGTCAGAAAAGGTTAAATTTAAAAAATTTTCAAACATTTTTTTGTTTTTTGTTCGGATTTTAAAATTATGAATGAGATTATTATCGGGGGGAGGAAAGTGCCCCGATGTAGTCAACGATGGAATGAAAAATTTTTTATTTTCCTACCTGCGATTTTTATATTTTCAAAAGAATTAAAAAAAAAAACAAAATGGCGTCGGAATTGTTTAATTTTTTAAATACGAGTCGCGTCGTTATTTTTTCTTTTAATTGTCAAAAACATTTTTTTTTGTGAAAAATTATACATTACTTAGATTATTCTTCAGGAAGAGGAAGTGGAGGAGAAACGGGGGGGGGGGGCAAGGAGAGGACGGAAACGGAAGAGGATTAAATATTTGCTGATGTTTGCTGCAGTTAAGGATTAAATTTTACAAAAAAAAAAAAAAAATTTTTAAATACGCCGCTAAATTTTTTTCCCCGCAAAAAAAAAGAAGGAAATTTTCTTCTGCTTTTCTTGAAACAGGTTTTTAAAAAAACGAATCATTATTATTATTATTATTAAGGCGTTCATTTTGAAAAGAAAAAAAAATGAAAGAAGATGGAAAAAGTTTAAAAATGAAAAAAAAAAAAAAATTATGTAACGAAATTGGAAAATATTATAACGTAATTTATTTATTTAAAAAAAAAAACAAAATGGCGTCGTAATTTTATTATTATTATTATTATTTTATCGTGTGCAGATCGAAGAACAAATAAGAAACATTTTACCAAAAATTCCGATTCCGCTACAGGAAGCGGCATTAAGATTGGCGAGTAAAGATTCCCGACAACGTCCAACAGCTCAATTATTATCACTCATTAAATATTTCAGGTATTTAATTTTTTTATTCATTCATTCATTCATTCAATCAATCATTCAATCATTCACGATTTAAAAAAAAAATTTTTTTCAGCGATCCTGCCGTTCACGCTCTCCAATTTTTAGACGTGATCAAGATGAAAGATCCATCGCAAAAATCACATTTTTATAGGAATACGTTAAAGGAAATGCTTCCTTACATTCCGAAGGTAAGAAAAAAAATTTTTTTTTTTTTTTTTTTTTTACTTACGTCAAAACCGGAAACGCGTCCGCCATTTTTATTTATTAACAATAATAATAATAATAATAATTTTTAAAAGTGAATAAAAAAAAAAAAGCGAGGGCGTAAATTAAAAAAAAAAAAAAAAATATTCTTTTTCGAAATCTCTTTAAACTTTTTCTTTTTTTTCTTTTTTTAATAAAAATCGTAATAATAATAATGATGATAATAATAATGACGATGATGATGATAATAATAATAATAATATCACGTTTAATTTAAAATTTTCATTTTTTTTTTTTTTGCGTAAGATTAAAACGAAATAAAAAAATTTTTTTTTTTTATTTTTCTCTAAAAGTTTTAAAGTTAAATTTGAAAAAAAAAATTGGGGGGAGGGAGGAAGAAAGGAAAAGGAAGGGGTCGCGCTTTACCTTTCGTTTAATTTTCTTAAGATTAATTTTTAATACACGTTTTTTTTTTTGTTGCAATTCGTTACTTTTTACTAAATCATTATTATTATTATTATTATTAATATTATTATCATTATTATTATTACTATACATGTTTGGAAATGAAGGATATTATTTTACTTTATTAAAAGAAGTGAAATAGAAAAACGAGAAGGAAAGTTTAGAAAAAAGAAAAGTCAAAGAAGATTCATTTGTTAATTTTTTAATACCAATAATGATAATAATAATAATAATGATAATAATAATAATAATGATAATGATGATGATGATGAAATTTAATTTCGTTTCCTGTGACGTAATTTACCGAAAAATTTTATTTTTATGAATTTTTACGTTTAATACTAATAATAATAATAATAATAATAAAGGAACGATAATAATGATGATGATGATGATGATGATGAATTAAGAAGGAAAAGTTATTATTATTATTAAAAATAATAATTAAGTTAAATTTTTTAAATAAACGTCATTAATATTTTTTTTTTACATAATAAATTTTACGTATGAATTAACCTTTAATTATTATTATTATTATTATTATTATTATTATTAATATTAATATTATTATTATTATTATTATTATTATTATTATTATTATTATTATTATTATTATTATTATTATTATCATCATCATCATCATCATCATCATCATCATCATCATCATCATCATCATCATCATTGTCGTCGTCGTCGTCGACATCGTCGTCTTTATTGAAAATATTTCTTTAAAAAAATAATTAATACATTTTATTATTATTATAATTATTATTATTTAATGACATGGGTTTCTTTCAAAAAAAAAAAAAAACATTTTTAAACTAATTAAAATTTTTTCTTTTTTATAAAAAAGAGAATGAGGGGAAGAGAGAGAGAGAGAAGCGAAAGAGGAGGAGGCATTTATCAACAAGTTTTTTTTTCTCTGATAGTTCCATTAAAAAAAAAAAAATGAAAAAAATAAAAAAGATAAGGATGAGATTGAGAGAAAAAAAAAATATTCTGAGAGAGAAAAAGAGAGAAAGAGAGAAATACTGTAAGGAAAAGAAAAATAAAGAGAGAGAAAGTGCAAAAGATACAAACGGGAAAAAAGAAAGAGAAAGAGGAATGAATAGAAAGAGGAGGGCAGACTGAAGAAAAAGAGAGAGAGAGAGAGAGAAACTGAAAGGAAAATAGCGACTGGATTGAAAATGGAAGGCAGAGAGAAAGAGAGAGAGAGATTGAAAAAAAAAAAACAGACGAAGAGAGAGAATAGGGAGGAAAAAAAGGAATCTAAAAAAAAAATATAAACGAAATAAAAAAGAGAAAGAGAGAGATAGAAAGAAAAATTGGGAGGAAAATAGCGACGAAAAAAGAGAAAGAGAGAGGGCGGGAGAGGGGAGGGGAGAATGAAAAAAAAAAAACTAAAAGAGATAGAAACGGAACAAGAGACAGTAAAGAGATAGAGATGTAGGAAAAAAAGAAACGAGAAGGTGTCCTCATTAAAAAACTTTTTTTTTTCTTTTTTTCCTTTTTCTGTAATTGCCCCCCAGTAAAAAAAAAAAAGGAAAGAAAAAAAAGGAAATTTTTTTTTTTTCCGAGGAGCTTCGAGGAACATTCGAATGAATTCACTTCATTAAATACCCATATATATATATACACATAATTGTCAATGAACCAACATAAACAATAAAAAAAAAAAAACCTTTGATTGATATGGCAAAATAAATCAATTACCTTCATCATTTCCTTTTTTATTTTTTTTTCCTTTTTTTACTTCAACCACAAAGGAAATTTTTTTTTTTTAAATTCGAAAGACTCTTTTATTTTAAATAATTTAAAATAATAAAAAAAACCGTTAATTAATTTTTTTCGTATTTAAACAAAAAAAAAAATTCATTTGATTTTCCTTTTATTCCTTTCCTTTTTCCCTTAATTCGTTTCCTTTGTGTATTTTCTTTTTATTTATAAAACTTAACCGTATATTCATGCGCGGAAAAAATTATTTATTTAAGAAATAAATAACAAACAAAAACATTTCAAACCTTTGAGAGAAAACATTAAAAATTAATATTTATACTTTTGAATTTAAAAAAAAAAAAACAATTTTTCATTGTCAAAAAACGTCAACCAATCAAAATCAATGATTTATATTTAAATTACAAAAAACTTTAACGTTTTTATTATTATTATTATTATCATTATCATCATCATCATTATTAATATTTTTTTTGTTCGTTTTTCGAGTAATCAGGTAGCAAACGAAATTCCCGCGAAAATTTTATAATTTTTTTTTGTTTTGTTTTTTAAACATTTCTAATGTTTATCGTCGTTTAAATTTTTTCGATTTCGCGCCTTTTTTTTAACTAAAAAATTTCATCACTTCCGGTTGACGGCGGTTGCGACGTCTACGGTGTCGGCGACGGCACGGAAAATACGCCATTTTGTTATTAAATTAAATCGTCGGATAAAAATTTTTAATTTTTGTTTAACGTTACGTTTGTTTGTTTGTTTAGAAACTTTGGTTTCAACACGTTTGGCCGTGTTTGCAACAGGAAATGAAAACTCAAGAAGTTTTAGCGGCGGTTCTCCAACCGATCATTTTTCTCGTACAGGAAACGACGTTGGAAGAATACGAAACAATCATATTGCCTTATTTCAGGTAGAGTATAAAAAAATTTTACCCCCCCCCCTCAATTCAAATTTTTTTCCCGCCTTTTTTTTTAAATTTTTTTTTTGTTTTGTTCAGAACGGTTTTTTCGATACCGAAATCGATACAGGCGACGGTAACGCTTTTGGAAAATCTTCACGTGATTTTAGAAAAAACTCCAAGAGACGACATAAGGTCGGAAGTGTTGCCAATGTTGTATAATGCCTTCGAGAGCGCCACCATTCAAGTTCAGGTATTTGTTTTTCCGGGGAGAAAATCTCCCCCCCTCACTCTTAATCCGACGGAAGTCGGTATGGATGTAAAAGAAAAAATAGTGGAGTGTTTTATATTTTTAATTACCGACGGTTAAATTATTTACATTTTGTCATGAAAATCATGCGCCCGCCATTTTTTTTTGGTCTGCGACAAGAAAAAAATTTCGAAACGGAAGCGGAAAGGAGAGAGAAAAAGAGAAATAGAAAAAACATTTTTTTCAATTTTTTCTTTTACATTTTTTTTGTTTTTTTTTTTGTTTTTGTAACCTTTTTTCGCTTCGATTTCTCCAGTATTTCACTTTGCCCCCCCCCCCCCATTTTCCCTTCCTCTTTCTCTCTCACTCTCTCTCCAGTCTCTCCTACAAACGACACAAAAAAAAAAACTGGGAAATAATTCCGACTTTATTTATTTCTTATTAATCTTTTTCTTTTATTTATTTATTTTTTTTTTGTGTTTCGTTGTCAGTTTTTTTTTTTTTTTTATTAACTTTTGGAAAAGTTAAACGAGAGGAGGAGTTTTGGAGACAGCTGGAAATTATTATTATTATTATTATTATTATTGTTATTAAACTTTATAAGGTATCGATGTCGTTTTCCTTTTTGATATTTATTTACTTTTAATTTTTTTTTAATTTTTATTTTTTCATTTTGTTTTGGAAAATCGAAAAGGAGAAGGAGAAGGTAGGAAAAGAAAGGGAAAAGGGGAAAAGGAGAAAGGGTCGATCCTGGAAAAAAAAATTTAATGGAATTTATATCCGTCGAGATTAAAATTAAAAAAAAAAAAAATGGGGAAGGGGGTTAAAAAAATAAAATGGCGAGATGATGTTTTTATTTATTTTATTTTTTTGCACTGTTTCGAATTTAAAAAAAAAAAATTTTTCCAGCAATTAAATTTACGCGCGTTTTTTTTTTTTGTTTTCTCCAGAGTTCAGCTTTGGTGGCCGTGACCCACGTGTCGGAATATTTAGACGAAACAGCAATTAAAAGAATGGTTTTACCCAAAACAAAACTCGTTTACGAAAAAAATTCAACGGATATAAAAATCGTATTGAACGTTCTTCTCTGCCTGGAAAAATGTCTCAACAGACTGGACAGAACGATGATAATCGATGAAGTTCTTCCATTGCTCTGGGATGTACGACTCCAGGACCCAGAGATAATACTCAGGGTTGTAAGTAAGTGATTTTTAAATCTCTTTTTTTTTTTTTGTTATGTTGGTATTTTTTTTTTTTTTTTTTACATTTTTCCCACGGAAAAATCTCGCGAACGTCGGAAAATTAATTAACGAAAAAATTAACCGGAAATGATTTTAGAATTTAAACATTTTAATTAAAATTTTTTTTTTCTATCGTTTAAAATTTTGTGGTTGTGTTTGTTTGTGACGTCATCATTCATGTGTTTTTTTTTTGGGGGGGGGTTATTTCCTTTTTTTCGAAAGTAACTTTTTCCGGGCATTAATCGTTTTTTTTTTTTTTTCAAATTACATTTTAAGATTAAATAAATAAAATAAATAATAATTCGAATGTTTCGCACATACGACAAACACCCGAACAAACAAACGAACAAACAAACGAACAAACATACAAACGAAAATACGAACAAACAAACACCTATCGAATCCGTGATTGTTAAAAAATTTTTAAATGGATTTGTTTTTAATTAAATTTTCATGTACGCTTTTTTTTTTTTTTTACTAAACCGGAAGTAAGTGTTGTTACAACAATAAATTCATTTCCGTTGTCGAATTTGTTTGTTTGTTTTTTGTTTTTTTTTTTTAAACCCTTCATTTTGTTTAAAAAAGAAAAAAGAAAATGAAAAAATTTTTAAACTTTTATTTTCCGACGGTGAAAAAAATTTTACAAAAAAAAAAAAAATAGGGGGGTTTGTTTAAACAAACAAACAAACCAAAAAGAAAACAATATTTTCGTTTTTCTTACATTATCCTTAACCTTCACCGTGTTTTTTTGTGTTTTTCTAAAACACAATGCCTGAGAAAATTCTCACGGCGAAAAACATACAAACAAACGTGTTGACTTAACAAACAGTTACAAAAAGGCGGGGGGAGGGGGTTTAAACCTGTAAGTATACGTATAAGTCACGTTTCCGCATAAAAAAAAAAAAACTTTTATTATTATTATTATTTTTTACGAACGAACAAACAAACAAACAACAATTTTCAGTTTTATTTTTTATTTTTTTTTAATATCATCCGCCATCTTTATTTATTTTATTTTTTATTTTTTAAATAAAATAAATAAATGAAAAATTTATTTATTTATTTATTTTATTAATTAATTATCGATTTTTTTTTCAATTCGATTCGATTCGCGTTTGATAATGATAACAATGATTAAAAAATTGTTTTTAGTTTGTTTACCTTCCGCGCACCCCCTCCCTCCATTTCTCAACCCGCAAAAAAAAAAAATTTGCCGCGAGTAATAAAAGACGACAAAAAATAAATAAATAAAATAAAACTACGTCACACGATTGTTGTCGTTGTTGTTGTTGTTATTTTATTTATAAACAATTTTTTTTTAAAAATTGTTATATATAAGTACGAACAAACAAACAAACAAACAGACATAAATTTTTTTTCTTTCCTTTTTATTATTATTGAATCGTTAAAATTCGTATAAAAAATAAAATTTTTTTATGCTTTTTTTTGCTATTCAAACTTAAAAGCCCTCATAAATTTTTTTTTTTTTTTTATATGTTTTTTTAATCGAAAATTAAATATTTGTTTATCATCATCATTATTATTACTATTATTATTATTTTACACATGTACGTAAATTTTGGTTTTCAAACAAACAAACAAACAAAACAAAAAAAAATAGTAATCGTTTGTTTGTTTTTATTCGGTTTTCCTTTCGAGTGATTACATTTTCTCTTACCATTTTTTTATTGTAATTTAAAAATTAATAATAATGATAATGATTATACTAACGATGATGATGATGATAATGATGATTTTTCAGTTACAAATAACTCATTAAAAATAGTCAAACAATCTCCCGGAATTTAATTATTAGAGAACGTGGGAAAAGAGTTGTCGTCACGATAATAAATGTCAAAAATTGTTTTTCGTGTTTGTTTTCTGTTTGTAGGTATATACAGGCTCATGTTGAGCGATAAAAAATACGGTCTTTCCGTTAATTTAATGGCAACACGTGTGATGCCGTCGCTTCTCCCTCAAACAGTCAATCCATCATTAAATCTCGATCAGTTTACGATATTGTTGGAAGTCTTACAAGAAATGTTGGATCACATAGACAGGTAATTGAGAGAAAAGCAGCCATTTTGTTTTTGTGCGCGCGGGAAAAATTTTTTTACTACTTTAATTAATTAATCGTCTTGTTGTCACGTCAGGAATCAAAGGAATAAATTAAAATTGGATAATTTATCGCTGCCGAGTCCGGAAAGGCACAGACCTTTGAGACATCAAATGAGTTCTGATAACATGCACGTTCCACCTTTCAACATACCTAATCTGAGAATCGAACATAGGAAAACATCGAGCGCGGAAGACATGGCAAGAAAAAATTCGACAGGTAAGTTGTGTTTGTTTGTTTGCTTGTTTGTTTGTTTGCTACGTTTGTTTGTTTATTACGACGCCGACGGTGTTATTCGCGTTGTCGTTTTATTTTATTTACGAACAAACATTTTTTTTCCTTTTTTTTTTTTGTTGTCGTCGGATTCGAATTACAAAAGTGAATTTTTTTTCCGTTTTAATTGTAACGTGAGAATGTATTATTATTATTATTATTATTATTTTATAATCGTTTTTTTTTTACGTCGGACGATTTCGTATTTAGATTTTTTCTAAAAAATTCTCATGTTGCGAAAAATTTTTTTTTTCGGTACGTTCGGTTTTATTTTATTTATTTTTACACTTTCGTTAAAAATTTCGACGTCGTCAGCTGTAAAAACTTTTGTGATTCGATGTCGTCTGCTGTAATTTTTTTGATAAGGAATAATTCGTTATTGAATGATAACAAAAAAAAAAAAATTAACTCGCGGTTTTCACAAGCGTAAATATTTTTTTGTTTACGTAGAAAAAAAATTCTCTCTTCTGATTGGTCGGATCGTTCCGTCCGTCTTAATTTTTTTTTTTTTTCGCCCGAAAATGAGTAACGATTATTTTAAAATTTCACTGGAAAATATCTTTATTATTATTATTATTATTGTATTTTGTTAATGATTACCAAACGCAAATACGTTTGATTGTAGTGAGAGGAGGAGGGCAGGAGGGGGCGGAAATTAGTAAGCAGGAGGAGGTCGTTAATCGGATATAAAATTTTTTTAATTCTAACAATAATCTGTTGACCTTATCATTAATTATCATTATTATCATTATTATTATTATTATTATTATTATTTAATTATAATTTCGAATCGATAGATGAAATATTTTCATTGACGTTATCCAAAGGATTTTTATCCTCGACATCACCGACGACGACGAGGGTTTTAGTCAAATTATCATTTTTAACTTCTTCGTCGATTTTGTCACACGCGATCGATATCATCCTGTTTGTCGTTTTTTTTATTTTTTTACCACCGCCGCCTTTGATCCGATCATCATCATCATCGTCATCGTCGTCGTCGTCGTCGTCGTCGTCCTCTTCCTCATCCGTGAGAGAATGCGACGACGATTTTTTATTGGTAAATTTCACGGAGTTGGAAGCGGTCCACGAGAGAGACAATTCGTGATCTTCGTGTTGTTTAATATTACGGGACGAAGAACAAGGTTCGGATTTCAATTTATTTTTCGCGTTAAAAATTTTCGTTTTGTTCGATGATGAGGGAGGGGGTTGAAAAACGGTTTGCAAAATGAAATCTTGAAATCTCTGACAGTAAAAATCCGGACGGTGAACGGATATGGAATCCTTTTCGTAAAAAATCGATTTGAGAGTGTGTTCTAATTTTTTACGAAGTTGGTAACTCTGTAAAATATCTATTATGCCCACGAAAAGGAGCAAGGGTTCACCGGAAGGGGTTTTCGCGGGTATTCCCGTTTCGAGTTCTGCGGCGTTCAATTCGTTTCTATCCATGTAATAAACGGCGAGTAAAAGGGAATAGTCGATGATTTTAAAACTTTCCAAAACTCTGCAATCTCTTTGCAATGCTTGGGAAAATTCCGCATAAGTATCCCGATCGAGGAGTAAACCCTCGGGATAATGTTCGATAAAATCTAAATCCTTATAAGTCGGAAATGTTTTTCTCAATTCCGATTGCGTTGCTTTACGTTTGTTCGTCGAACCTTTCAAATCGTATTTTTGATGTATTATTGCGTTTGTCGGTATCAAATTGTTCATGACTAATATTCTTATGTTTTTATTACCCCCGCTGTAATTGTAAAATCCGAAAAATTTAGGGAGGAGAGTTTTAGGGTTTTGTGTGAGATTCAAATAGTAACCGGGTAATAATTTGAGTAAGAAATCGCTTTCCCTTTGCTGAGCCGTTTTCAATATGAACGTATCGTCGTGCGTGACGTAAAAAATTGAACCCGAAGAACCGGAAGTTTCCAATTGTTTCAACGGTTCCGAACACATCGACCTTATGAAATCGATTGTTTTTATGTTGAACAAACCGCGGAAATATTTAAATGCAACGGGTGCATAATCGTAAAATTTAAATTCCTTACCGTAATTTGTTGTGGTTGTTGTGTTTGTCGTTGTCGTTCCATCATCGTTTTGAAAAATTATACTTTCGAAATTCATAAAATCTTCGATCAATAAATCACGGGATGGTTTTAAATCGACGGAAGAAACCGTTTGTTTTATGGCCGTTTGTATCGACGTCATAATTTCGCAATCTGGAGTTCTTCTGAATCTTAAAAAACCCGACGACGATGATGATGATGAGGCCGTCGTCGAGGATTCCGATGAATCCTTCCTGTGAGTGATTGGTTTACTACCATCCTCAATCATATTATTATTATTATTATTAGTTATAATAATAATTGTGATAATAATAATGACGATGATGATAGTTCATCGATCCGCACCTTATCATTTTTATCATCGTATTTACACGTCACCGTTAATAATTTTATTATATTATTATTATTATATATTAATATTATTATTATTACTTACTAGTTTTTATCGTCATTATTTAAAAATCTACATTTAGTTGTTAATAAATAAATCGAGGAGTTACATAAAATTAAAAAAAAAAAATTAAAATAAAAAAAATAAAAACATTGTCACATTTTGAATTTTGTTGTTTACATGTTGATGACCTACTACTACTGCCACGTTTCGTTTCGAATGCCTCCGCGATTTTTCTTTTTTTTAAACTTCTTTTTAACTAATTTACGATGAAGAATAAAATAAAATAAAATAAAAAAGTTTTAAGTCGATAAATTCGTCGTTAACGGCGTCGTTTGTTAAAGTGTGTTAAATGTTATGTGTGACGTAAAAAACTACTAAAATTTGACTCCAGACTCTGGGGTGTTAGGAGGATGGTGGTTCGGTGCGAGTCCCTCGTCTCCGGATAGTAATTTCCTTCGGGTGCATAACGCATTCCCGAATCGACGTCTGTCCGACAACCAACTCATGATGCCGCCGAAGATACGTATAGCTCCGTCCTGTGCGAGTTCACCCGGTGGCACGCCCGGTGGGGGTCTTCCGATTCGTCGTCATTCGAGCATAGGACCGCAGGAGAGAAGAGGTTCGACGATCAATTTGTCACCACCGACCGTAAGTCAGACTTTTTATTTTTACGATGATAATTTTTCCATGACGTTAATGCTACGCAAACCCCCCCCCATCCCGCCCCCCTACTATCATTCACCCACCCCCGCAACCGCCCGAATAATTAAAAAAAAAAAATTTTCTTTTCTTTTGTCACCGGCTTTTTAAATATTTTTGCTCAGCGCTTATAACCCACTGGTAATTATTATTATTATTATTGATTGATTGATTGATTGATTGATTGATCATTCCCCTTTTACCGGCAATGAAACCAAAAAATATTTTTAGGCTTTTGGCATGAAAATTTTTATTAGTTAAAAACAAACTTTTCATCGTTATAATTATCATTATTATTAAAAAAAAAAAAAAAAACTCTTAAGCACGACTTATATAGTTTTATTTATACCTCTTCCCCCTCTTTAAAATATAGTTATCATTTCCGGTATTTATCTATTACCACGACAAAAAAAAAAAATTTTTTTTTTTTTGAATATGATTGATTAGCTTAGCTAAGTGTCTTCCTTGTCCCTGCAGGGTTTCGGTCTACGGCTCGGCGGATCGCAAGAGGGCTCTACCCTCTCGGTGCCATCGGCGTATGTAAGTCCCCTCGATGTGCACGTTTTAAAAATAATTTAACAAACAACAACAACAACAAAAAAAAAAAAAGAGAGAAAAAAAAACAGAAACTTTTGTAACATTTCTTTATTTTTTCCGTCGTGTCCGTCGAATATCGCGAAATTAAACAAACGGTGATGATCGACGATATGTCGACGGTTGTTGTCGTTTTTTAAAAAGAACGTGCAAGACATAAAGAAATGTTACGAAAGACCGTTTTTTTTTTTTTTAATGGAGCTTCGCCTTAATTGTTTTATTATTATTATTATTATTATCTATTGACGGTGTTTTGTTTGTGTCGAACAATATCGTGTATTCGTCTTTCGCTGTCGTCTCATATATAAAATTATGTTTTGTTTTTTTTTCCTCATCGTTGGTTGTTCCATTCTTTCCCATTGCAACAAACACAACAGTTGGAAATTTTTTTTATTGGTCAATCGCGTTTCGATCTATCGATCGATCGATCGATATTAAAAAATTAAACAACAATCACGTCTTACTTTCAGACAAACATTTTTTCTTCTCTCTCTCATCTCATCACGTTCGTACCCCTTTCCCCCCCTCAGCTTTTTGTATTATCATTATCATCATTATCACCATTACAATTACAGTCGATTCGTCAAAAAGAGAGAGAGAAAACAACAACAAAAAACATTTCACATAATTGTCACTCATTTATTTGTTTTTTTTTTTTTTGTTTGTCTTTGTTTGTATTTTTATGAATTTATGTCGCAAAAATACAAAAAAAAAAAAAAATTCATCGATATTATATATACATATTTTTAAGTGTTTAAATAAAATGTGTAAAGTTATGAAAAGTTATGAAAAGAATAAAAAAAAACAAAAAAATTTATGAAAATTTTAAATAATTCGGCGAGGATCATCGCTTTGTAATTAACTGATTGTCGCTTTTTTTCTTTTCATTCAAAGCTTGCACGGAGCATGATAGTGAGTATCGTCAAATTTGTTTATTATTATTATCATTATCATCATCATCATCATCATCATTATTATCATTATCATTAATTAATCGATTTTTTTTTGAATTCATTTAATTTCGATTAATGATTACCTGTCAGGTTCGCCCCACGTTTTCTTTTTTTTTCTCTCCTTGTTTTTTTTTTTTTACTTTTTTGTTTGTTTGTTTGCGTTTGTTTGTGTTTGTATACATATATATATTAAAAGTTTTTAGATGACGTCAATATTAAAAATAAGAAAGCGAGAGAGAGAGAGAGAAAGAGAAAAGAAAAAACAAAAATTTTGTTTTTTTTTGTAATATTCATTATCGCGATTATTATTTAAGCATGATTAATGTTCGCCATATTTGTTAATTAATTAATAAAAAAAATATTATCATTATTATTATTATTATTACGTAAAAAAATTTTCCGCCTGCTTTTAATATTATTATCATTATTAATAATTTTTTTTTTTTAAATTACCTTTGGTAAAAAAGAAAAAAGTGAAAATTTTTACGTTAAAAAAAAAATTTGCTTATTATTATTATTATTATTATTATTATTATTATTATTATTAATGTTGTCAGTGTTTCACTTTCGCTTTTTTTTAAATGTTCCCCTCCACTCTTTTTTTTTGTTTTCTTTTTCCGGTTTTATTAAAAAAAAAAAGAAAAAAATCAATCTTAAATACATAAATGTTTTTTTTTTCGAATTTTAGGGCGGAAGCATGCCGAATACCAGCAGCAGCGTTCCATTCCTGCTGAATTCGAGCATGACGTCACTGCGCTCTCGGCGACCGTCGACCTGTTTGACAAATTCGCAAGGCTCAGGCCTACTCCAACAGCTGGGCTCCGGCATGGTAAGGCAACTCACACTGGGGTCAGGTTCCTCACTTCACCATCACCCGCCAGGTTCCGGTGGCGGGCCTCGGTCATTCCCCAACAGCAATGTAAGGAATTGTCCAGCTTTACGATCCGCTTATTAAATTTTATTTTGCCAAAATTTTTTTTTTTTTCTGACGTCTTCTCGTTTTTTATTTTTATTTTTTCTGCCACTCTCTCTCTCTCTCTCTCTTTCTCTTTCTCATCTCATTATATTTTTCTTTATCTTTCTCTCTTTTTCTCTCTGTGCTTTTCTCTTTCTCTCTCTCTCTCGCTCCATTTTCTCCTTCTCTATTACATCTCTTTCCTACCTCTTTCACATCTCTTTCTTTTTCTCTTATTCTCTATCATCTATTTTTTCTACCTCTCTCTCTCTCTCTTTTTCTATTTCCCCCTCTTTCTGTTTAAGAAGGTTCTAATAATTTGACAATTGCTGTTGTTTAACACCCCCCCCCCTCTCTCTTTCTCAACGGTTTTAAGTTAATAATTTTCCCTTGAGTTTTTTCCTTTCATTCATTCAGTCATTCTTCTTCTACTTCTTCTTCTGCTTCTTTTGTTTTTTTTTTACTTTCTCTTTCATTCTAAATCTTTTGGCTTGTTATTATTATTATTATTTTGCTGCTTTAGACAGAAAAATTTTATTTGAGCTGCTCTATATTTAAAAGGAAAAAAAAAAAGCTTTATTAGACAGTTTTTTTTTTTTGTTCTCGCTGTATTATGACTACATATATATTTTTTTATTCTGTTGTTGGAGAAATCCTTACATTGGTGAACTTGAGTGATTTTTGCATCTCTCTCTCTCTCTCACTCATTCAATGATCTACCTATTATTATTATCATTATTTTTAAATTTAATTTTTATTATTATTATTACTATTGATGATTTTTTTTTTTGATACCTGTAGTGTGAGTTATAATTTAGTTGATATTTTCTTAATTAATTAAGTGGTAATTTTTTTTTTTTTTCAAAATAAATAATAATAATAATTTATCGGGGAAGTGGAGGGGGCGGGAACATATTCGTGACGTCATAACAATGACGTGTCATTTTTTAAAACAAAAAGCTTTAATTTTTGTTAACCCTTTTTACGAATTAAAAAAAATTTTTTTTCCTGTCGTTCGCGTTAGTAGTAATCGATATTATATTTTTTTTTTTTTTACCTGTCGTATTTATTGCTTATAAAACAAACGCGACAACAAACAACAGCAGCGGCATCGGATTAAAAAAAAGGAAAAAAAAATGGTCGCCGACAGGAAAAATTTTCAAAAAGGTTTTTTGGGTTTTTGGCTTTAGAGTCATTTTGAATTTAAGTGGGGGAGAGAAATAAATTTTAGTACAAACGTTTGTCGAAATGTTCTGTGGTTGTTTTCACCGAATTTTATCTGTAAATGTGTGTGCGTGTATGCGTGTGCGTTTGCGAGACCTTTTCACGCAAGATGGGTGTCTGTTTCCTTTGACGCACGATTTCAAATCCTTTGAACTTTTGCGGTAAAGATTTCAATTTTCTAGAAATTATGACAATAATGATGGTTTTTGACTCTTTCTCCCTCCCCTCTCCCCTCTCCTTCTCCATTCAAAAACGTTTTCACGCATTTGTTGAATTTTTTCGCTGTCGGTCGTTTAAAAAAAATTTTTTTTTTTTTTCTCGATTTCGATTACGTGTATACACGTACTTGTGTGTGTGTGTGCCTGTGTTGTGCTGTCGTAAACGAAATCAATCGTATATCTTCGACTCGTTTAAAAATTTTATTCCTGTCGGCAACAGATTTCCCGGAAGAAAAATTACGACAAAATATATATATATTCCCAATACGTTTTACCGAAAGGATTAAGAAATGCGTTTGTTTGTTTTTTTATTATCATTTTATCACGGGTTTTCCCTCCACCTTCCCTCCCCTCTCTTGAATGCTGTTGTGTTCCGGATGTTGCTGCCTGTTTTTTTGTTGCCTCTCAACATTTTATGTCGATTATTTACGATTTGTAAATTTCACATAAACGAATCGAAATATATACCCGAACGTTTAAAAACGTAGGCGCGATTGAACGCGTTTGTTCGTGTCAATAAGAAAATTTTCGTCGTGGTTTTAACAAATAAAAAATTAATTCACTAATGCGTTATGATAAATGGGGGGCTGGCGAGAAAGGGGAAATTCATCAAATTCAATATTTATTTTCTTATCGCAAAAAATATAAAAAACTTTTTGAATAAATTTTTATTTATTTATTTATTCATTTATGCGTTCCGACCGACATTTTTTTTTTTGAAATAAATAAATAAATCGATTGATTTAATTTATTTTGTTCTTATTAATCGAATCAATAACAAATTAAATTTATGTATAAAAATCATAATTTTAAAATAAAACTTTAGAAATAAATTGAAATTTAATGTGTTCGCGAATTCATTTAAAAAAAAAAAATTACCGTTAAATTTAAATATTCGTTTTTCGAATTTTTCTTTAGTTGTAATTACTCACGATAGATGTCACTACTAGCGGAAAATTTAAACAAAAAAAATTACACTTCAGGTACACACACTTTTCTCAAATCGCACCGGAAAAAAATTTCTTTTATTATTATTATTATTATTATTATTCGTAGTAAACGATTAAGGCCCCCGCCTGCCCTTCCACCCACCCGCTCCCCCGCTCGAATAAAACAAAAACCTAAACGTAATAAAATTAAAATTAAAATTTTTTATTTATTGAATACATGAGAAAGTTAAACTTGATTAAATTTAAACCGCATTAATTATTTAGAAAATTTTCAATATGTTTACTAATAATTAATTTGATTATTTTTTCAGTATCAGCTGTTTTCTGGAAGATCTTAGAATTCCAATACATATATATTATATATATTATTATTATTATTAATATAATTTGATAAGTTTTTAACTTGAGAAAAAAAAAATGGAATAAAATGGAAAACAAAACCAAAGAACAAAAAAAAATTTATTGTTTTAGATGTATATGTATGTATGTATATATATATATATATATATATATATACTCGCACGTCCATACTTGAATCGTTCGCGAATGAAACGTCGTTAACAAAAAAAAATTGTTCTATTGCCACGTCGCCAAAAAAAAAAAAATTTTTATTATTTTATTTTCGAATTTTCCAGTTTGTACAATCATCATTATAAATATTGTATATTTATATATATACATATAT